CTAGTAAAGCTTCATATTCTGCCTCATTGTTTGAAGCCTGGAAACTGAAGCGTAGAGCATACTCGAACCTGTCGCCCTCTAGAGATTGACATACGACGCCTGCTCCACAACCGTTTGAAGTGGAGCTTCCGTCCACATATACCTTCCAGACTTGGTCTGGAACTTGAGAGTCAGGAGGACGAGTCATCTCTACAATAAAGTCAGCAAAGGCTTGCCCCTTCACTGCTTTTCTAGGCTCGAAAGTAACTTCGAGACTCTACATTTCTATGGCCCATTTGATCATTCGTCCGGAGGACTCCATGGTGGTAAGGGGCCGCTTGATCGGTTGGTCGGTATACACGACGACTGCATGTGCCAGAAAGTAGGGCTTCAATTTTTTAACAGCCATGAAGAGTGCAAGACCAAATTTCTCCACTAGGGGATACCTCAACTCGGCATTTTTCAGTACGTGACTGACAAAGTAGACCGGAAGTTGACAGCCGTCCCTTTCAGCAAGGAGCACCGCGCTTAACGCATGATCAGAGACGGCCAGGTACATGTACAGATTTTCTTTGGGCAAAGGGCTGACCAGCCTCGGCAAGGAATGCAAGTGAACCTTTAATTTCTGGAAGGCGGCCTCAGCATCCGGCCCCCATTCAAACCTTGCTTTTTTCTTAATTGCCTGGAAAAAGTATAGGCATTTGTCGCCTGATCGGCTTAGGAATCTTCCCAAGGCCGCCAGACAGCCTGTTAACTTCTGAACCTCTCGAACGGTACGAGGCGACTGCATGTCAATGACCGCCTGTACCTTCTCGGGGTTCGCCTCTATTCCTCTCTGGTTGATAAGGAATCCGAGAAATTTCCCAGACTCAACTCCAAATACACATTTCTTGGGATTGAGCATGACATGGTGCCGCCTGAGTGTGGCGAAAGTCTCTCGGAGGTCCGTCAGATGATCTTTCTGAAGTTTAGTCTTGACAATCATATCATCAATGTATGCCTCGACGTTTCTCCCAATCTGATCAAAGAACACTGTGTTTATCATTCGTTGGAAGGTAGCCGGAGCATTCTTAAGACCAAACGGCATGACCGTGTAACAGTATAATCCCTGATCAGTGACGAAGGCCGTCTTCTCCTGATCTTTCTTCCACAAAGGAATTTGATGAAAACCAGAATAGGCGTCCATAAAACTCATCAAGGCATGGCCGGCTGTTGAGTCGACCAGGTTATCAATTTTAGGCAGAGGGTAACTGTCTTTGGGGCACGCCTTGTTCAAGTCTGTGTAGTCTACACACATTCGCCAGGTGCCATTCGGCTTTTTAACAAGTACCACATTTGCAACCCAATCTGGGAAGTAACATTGCCGAATGAACCCTGCATCAAGTAATTTTTTGACTTCGGCGGCTGCCGCCTGACCTCTTTCTTCACCATGGTTCCGTTTCTTTTGTCGTACCGGCTTCTTTTTCGGATCCACAGCGAGTTTGTGTACTGCCAGATCAGGACTAATGCCTGGCATTTCATGGACTTCAAATGCAAAGATGTCCTTGTATTCTTTCAACAAGTTGTGAAAGTCGGCACCAAGGTTTCTTAGAGCAGCCGTCCCTACTTTGACTGTTCGGTCAGGATGGGAGTCGTCTAATATCAGGTCCGCATGCTCACCAGCCGGCTGAGGGCGGAACTCATCCGGCCGGTCCTCTGCCAATGATTGCTATTTTCTTGCTTTTCTTGCGGACTCAGTCTGGAGTGCCTTTCTCTTTTTGTCGCCTGTTTCTTGAACAGGCGCACTTACCTTGACATTGCCAAGGTCTGTTTTTTCTCCACTTGACCCAGTGGCCATAACAGTGGGCTTGACATCCGAGAGATAGCACTCTCGGGCCATCCTCTGATCTCCCCTAAGGGAGCCGACTGTTCCATTGTCCCTTTCAAACTTAAGCAGCATAAGTGACGGGATTATAACAGCCTTGGAATTATTCAGGGTTGGTCGACCCAGAATCATGTTGTAGGCAGAGAGTTCCTCTACCACTAGGAACCGGACTACCATGTGTCGTCCTTCCCCTTTTTCGCCCAGGCGGATGGGTAGATCTACTCGTCCCAGTGGGTGGACGACTCCTCCCCCAAACCCTATTAAAGGGTGGGAGGCCGGATGTATGCAGTCCGTCTGATATTTCAGTTTTGATAGACATTTGCTGCTGATGAGATCTGAAGAGCTCCCGGTATCTATGAGGATTCGGCCAACTCTCTGGTTGGCCACTTTACATTCAATAACGAGAGGGTCGTCATGCGGCCCCCTTATTCCTCCTAGATCCTCTTCAGTGATGACAATCTCAGGAAATGTATATTTGGACGGTCGTTCTTGGTGAACGGAATTTACATCTAACCGCCTTATATTATCTTTGTTGCCCCTAATAGTGGGGCCGCCTCCTGAGAAGCCGCCTGCAATGGTGTAGACGACTGCATCATCTGTATCAGAACTGTCGGCCTGCTGATTCTTTTTGGCCGACTGCTTTTTTGAGGAAGTGTTTCCCGCAGATTTCTTGACATAAGTGTCAAGATCACCTTGATCAGCCAATCGGTCTAGGTACCGCATGAGACTGATGCAGTCATTGGTGTGATGACCAATGTCATCATGATAAGCACAGATTTTGTCTTGGTTCCGGTTGCTCGCAGAACCCTTCATGGGGAGCGGCTTCTCAATTGAGAGCCGTTCCTTTATTTCTTTTAGGATAAACTGGTTATCCTTGTTAAACACATATTTTGGGGAGTATGGTTTGAATTCTTTTTTCTTTTTCTGGGCCGGCTGTTTAGAGGAATCAGCCGCCCAGACCCCTTTTCTTTTTTCATCCTTGTTGGACGACTGTTTCTGTCGTCCCTCTCTATTGTCGAACCTCTTCCCGTCCGACTGTTTCATCGTACACAGATCAGTCGCCTGTATATAGGCTTCTGCTTCAATCAAGGCCTCTTGAAGAGTCGCCACCCTTTTTCGAACTAAATCAAATTTGAAGGTAGACCCGTCTTTGAGACCTCTAAAAAAGTCAGTATAAGCTACCTCATCCGGTAACCCTTGAATCTGTATTCTCATCAGGTTGAACCGCCTGATGTAGGAACGAAGCCCCTCCTTTTCACCCTGCTGAATTGTTCCCAAATCAAGGGTCGTTTTCTTCGCAGGGATGTTCATTGCGAAGTTGGAGGCAAATAAGTAAGCAAGCGTCCTGAAGCTGTTTACACAACCAGTCGGCAGGTTGCCGAACCATTGCTGTGCAATTCCCTTGAGAGTCGCTGGGAAACACTTGCACCAAGTGGGATCATCCAACCCTTGAAGGTACATCAGGTTGGTGAATGCCATCAGATGGTCTTCCGGGTTAGTAGTGCCATCATAGGCGCCTACTAAAACATTTTTTACTTTGGCCGGCTGAGCGGCTTCAGTAATTTCCTTGGAGAAGGCCGACGGCTGTTCACCAAGTCTAAGCAGCCGTAGCTGCCAGTCCATAGGTTGGACGTTTTTTGCTGCAGGTCCACCAAATGGAGGTGGCTGCATAAAATACTGTTGTTGCGGCACAAATGGTAAGTTTGGTACCGCCTGGGCACTATGAAAGTCGGACTGACGGGAGGTGCCGCCTGACTGACTCTCATGGTACGACTGAGTTGGCCTCATCGAGGCGTTTCGCAAACTGTCCTGAAAATTTGAAGTAGAAGCCGACTCTGATAATCGGTCACTCTTCTTCTGCTCTAGCAGGTGCCGAGCATCTGTGAACGTTTGCTTTGACCCGTCCGCCTGAATATGACGAACCGGTTTCCTATTTCCCGTAGGGTAACGGAATTTTGTGAAATCAAGAGCAGACGGTTCCCGCTTCTTGGATTTAGGATGGGGAGTCGCCTCTCGCCCTTGAACTGGCTTCCTCCTCAGTGAAGTGGAAGGTTTCTTGGCCGACTGCTCTTTGACTGAAGCAGGCGGTTTTTTGTTGATCAACTCTTGGATCTCTCCCTTGAAGTCCCTCATGAAGGTCATGAGTTCGTTCCTTGTGATGGGAGCAGACCCATCAGTCGGCTGTTGCCGAGCAAGCGGTGCGCCTGCTGGCTCGCTTCCTGTTTGAAGATACTCCCGTTCCCTTATTTCAGTATGACGGGTACGGCGGGCCCTTAGGGTCCCGTCTGGAGCTGTATGAGTTTCAACTTCAAATTCACTTTCGGTATCATGGTCCGACTGAACTTGAGGGTCGTCTAGGGGACGCCTCTCTTCTGGAGTCGGTACAGACTTGGATGCCATCTCTGAAGTACTCTCCCCACAGACGGCGCCAAATGTTTCGGGGTTTTCTGATGTCCTGCGGGAGAGTTACAATTCCGAGACTGGAACCGGACGTCTGTACCTGCAAGATAACGGAGACTCCTGAGAGCTCCGCCTCCAACGGTCAAGTTAGTACCTGATTAAGGAGTAATCAATACAGAAAGTAAAGTAATGAGATCTCTCTAGGTGAGAGTGCTTAGTGTTGGTAATCTGCGTCGTTAGCGAGATTAGCCGGTTGTTAATAAGTCTGTTCTTCTCTGCTTGATCTCTTAATTATTCGGTTGTTTTTTTGTTGTTTTTTGATTAATGAGGATTAATCGAGTATTTATAGCCTTGGGAAGCGTGCAACTCTCTAGGTTTAAGGTAAACCTAGGGCTGATCGGGCCTCTAGACTGAAATGGGCCTTGATGGCCGGTTGTCCCACTTGGCATGGGTGGACACGTGGCGTGTCTTAAGTGGTCCGTGGAGGACGTATCTGTGACTGACACGTGGCAAGCTCCTGTTGGCCTTCGTGAAGGACACGTGGCGGAACCTGGTTGGTCCACTTGTCAGACGGTGATTGGTGGATAAAAATCCCCTAATCAAAGGGAAACCTGTTATCAAACTACCATTCCCCAACAGACATTTAAAGACAAAGTTGGACAAGCAGTTTGGTAAGTTTTTGGAGGTAGTGAAAAATTTGCAGGTAATTGTCCCTTTCACAGAATTAATTACACAAGTTCCTGCATATGCTAAATTTATGAAAGATTTTCTGACTAGTAAAAGGGCTTTTAATGAGGTAGAGACTGTAGATTTCACTAAAGAATGTAGTGCTTTACTACAAAATAAATCTCCACCAAAATTAAAGGACCCTGGAAGTTTTTCTATACCTTGTCATATTGGTAATGTCTTCATAGATAAAGCTTTATGTGATTTGGGTGCCAGTGTTAGTGTCATGCCATCGTCTATTTGTGCAAAACTTAATATGGGTGACTTAAAAGTGACTAACATTACCCTACAAATGGCAGATCGTTCTGTTAAATATCCCTTAGGTATTTTAGAGGACGTTCCTGTTAGAGTGGGAAAATTTTATATCCCCGTTGATTTTGTAGTTTTGGACATGGCTGAGGATACGCAAATTCCTATAATTTTAGGGAGACCTTTTCTCCACACTGCAGGAGCTATTATTGATGTGAAAAATGGAAAACTAACCCTTTCTGTAGGAGATGATAATATTACTTTTAATTTAGGGAAGGTTTTAAAAGGTCCTATGATTAAGGAAGATTGCTCTAGTATTGAAGTTATTGATGTGATTGACATTATTTGTGAAGATAGCTTACCACAGGTTCTTGCAAGAGATCCCTTGGAGGAAGTACTTTGTGGTGATTTTACTACAGGTGATGCTGACATATAGAGCAAAGAAGTGGATTCTATAGAGGCAGCTCTCTCCCTTGAAGAGCTTGGCCCTAAAGAAAATTTGAAGGTAGAAAAATTGGTTCAGGAATAAAAACCTGCAGAGGTAAAGAAACCTGAATTAAAACCTCTTCCTTCTCATTTAAAATATGTTTTTCTTGATGAGCAGGAATTACACCCAGTGATCATCAGTACTGCACTTGATGAACCACAGATTTCCCAACTCTTAACGGTTTTTAGAACTCACAAAAGGGCAATCGGGTACAGTATTGATGATCTGAAGGGTATTAGCCCTGATTTTTGTATGCACAGGATACACTTATAGGAGAACCACAAGCCATGTATTCAACCTCAGAGAAGGTTGAATCCTAATATGCAAGAAGTAGTTAAGAAAGAGGTGATGAAATTACTTGATGCAGGTATTATTTATCCTATTTTTGATTCAAAGTGGGTTAGTCCTGTGCAGGTAGTACCTAAGAAGGGTGGGATGACAGTAATAAAAAATGATAAGAATGAATTAATTCCCACTAGAACTGTGACAGGGTGGCGTATGTGTATTGATTATCGTAGATTAAATATAGCCACTAAGAAGGATCATTTTCCCCTACCCTTCATTGACCAAATGCTTGAAAGGTTGGCCAATCATAAGTTCTTTTGCTATGTAGATGGGTACTCTGGATTTTTCCAAATTCCAATTCACCCTGATGATCAGGAAAAGACTACATTTACTTGTCCCTATGGTACTTTTGCATATCGCAGGATGCCATTTGGCTTATGTAATGCCCCTGCCACTTTTCAACGTTGCATGATGAGTATTTTTTCTGAATTCATAGAGTCTATCATGGAAGTTTTTATGGATGATTTTAGTGTGTATGGTTCTTCATTTGATGCATGCTTAATTAATCTCACTAAAATATTGAAAAGATGTGAAGAATGCAATTTGGTTTTGAATTGGGAAAAATGTCACTTTATGGTGACAGAGGGAGTAGTTCTTGGTCATATCGTATCTGATAAAGGTATACAAGTTGATAAAACTAAGATTTCTATGATTGAGCAATTGCCTCCACCAGTTAATGTTAAGGGGGTTAGAAGTTTCTTAGGCCATGCGGGATTTTATCGCCGTTTCATCAAAGATTTTTCTAAAATTGCTAAACCACTAACTCAGCTTTTGTTGAAGGATGCCCCTTTTGATTTTACTAATGAGTGTCTTGAGTCTTTTAACAGGATTAAGCAAGCTCTAATATCAGCACCTATCATATGTGCTCCCGATTGGAATTTACCTTTTGAGATTATGTGTGATGCTAGTGATTTTGCAGTTGGAGCCGTGTTAGGACAAAGAAAGAACAAAGTTCTACATGTTGTTTATTATGCTAGTAAAACTTTGGATGAAGCCCAAGTCAATTATGCTACCACAGAGAAGGAGTTTCTTGCTGTCATATATGCTTTAGAAAAATTTAGATCATATCTAGTTGGTTCTAAAATAATTGTTTTTACTGATCATGAAGCTCTGAAATATCTGATTGCTAAGGCAGAAACAAAGCCTAGGCTTCTCCGTTGGGTTCTCTTGCTCCAAGACTTTGATGTGGAAATTAAAGATAAAAAGGGAGCAGAGAATGTTGTAGCAGATCACTTGTCTAGGATCAGATATGATGGTGGTAAATATTCTCTCCCTATAGACGATTCCTTTCCTGATGATCACTTGTTCTCAGTTGTAGAGCAACACCCTTGGTATGCAGATTATGCTAATTTTTTAGTGGGTGCTACTCTACCTCCTGACTTGTCCTATCAACAGAAAAAGAAATTCCTTTATGATGTTAAACATTATTTTTGGGATGATCCTTTTTTGTTTAGAGAGTGTGCAGATGGTTTGTTTCGCAGGTGTGTTCCCGAATGGGAAGTCCACGGAGTACTCACTAGCTGCCACAATTCCCCCTATGGTGGACATCATGGCCCTGCTAAGATAGTCGCCAAGATAAACGAGTCAGGATTTTATTGGCCTACCATGTTCAAGGATGCTCAGGCCTTTGTCATAGCTTGTGATTCCTGCCAGAGGACTGGAAACATCTCGCGGCGGCATGAGATGCCCCAAACAAGTATCTTAGAAGTTGAAATTTTTGATGTTTGGGGTATTGATTATATGGGTCCCTTTCCCTCCTCAAAAGGGAATCGTTATATACTTGTTGTCGTTGATTATGTCTCTAAGTGGGTAGAAGTCGTTGCCACACCAACCAATGATTCCAAAGTGGTTCACAAATTATTTAAGAAAATCATCTTTCCTAGATTTGGAGTCCCTAGAGCCGTAATTAGTGATGGAGGATCTCACTTTCATGAGAGGAAGTTAGACACCCTTCTGAAAAAGTACGGAGTATACCATAGAACAGATTTAGCCTACCATCCCCAAACTAGTGGGCAAGTAGAGGTTTCAAACCGTGAAATTAAAGCTATTCTGCAGAAAGTGGTAGCAAAGTCTAGGAAGGATTGGAGTGATAAGTTAGATGACACCCTTTGGGCATATAGAACTGCATTTAAGACCCCTATTGGTACTTCTCCCTATAAACTAGTGTACGGAAAAGCATGTCACCTTCTAGTGGAATTAGAGTACAAAGATTATTGGGCAATCAAAGAGCTTAATTTAGATGCTAAGTTAGCAGGAGAGAAAAAGGTTACTTCAACTTAACCAGTTAGATGAGTTTAGGTTGCAGGCCTATGATAGCGCACGTGTCTATAAGGAGAAAACCAAGAAATGGCATGACAAGATGATCCTTCCGAGAGAATTCAAAGAGGGTGATAAGGTTTTGTTATTTAATTCTAGACTTAAACTGTTCCCAGGAAAGTTGAAGTCAAGGTGGTCAGGTCCTTTCACTGTTAAAAGGACAAATAAATTCGGTTCTGTTGAATTATATGATGATCGTGGTGGTCTATTTAAGGTAAATGGTCAACGATTGAAATTCTATCACGACGGGGCTACGATAGGTGCAGTTGAATTACTACACCTAACTGATCCCTCCTCATCTTGATTAACATATGGTAAGATGGTCGTGCGGGACCTTGATAAACCAGCGCTTTGCTGGAGGCAACCCGTATTTTTCCTTTTTTTTTTTTTTTTTCTTTTTTTTCCTTTTATTTTTTTTATTTTTTATTTTTTTTATTTTTTTTTTCTTTTTAGAAAGGCAGAGAGAGGGAACTAACACTGTTATAGACTGTTTTGACGCAGGTTGGAGAAAAAGAGTTAGCCAAAAATAAAAAATCTAGCGAATTTTTGACGAACTAAACATTCAGCCTCGCGCCCGACCGGGCGAAAGCTCGCCTGACCGGGTGCGAGAGATTTTCGTAAACGTCAAAAAATCGCCCGACCGGGCGAAAACTCGCCCGGCCGGGCGCGAGAGTAAGTTAGTTTTTTGGCAAAAGCTCGCTCGATCGAGCGAAAGCTCGCCCGACCGGGCGCGAGAACAAACTTGGAAAACCAAATCTCGCGCCTGACTGGGCGCGAGATTAAGGGCGAGAGTTCGCCCGACCGGGCGCGCCTCTATTTTTTCGGAATCACCTTTTTTTCCCTTTCTTTTTCCTTCCTCCATTACTTTCTCTCTCTAAAACTCCATTTTTCTCTAACTTCTCTCTACTTTTTTTTTCTTCATCCTTCATCCAAATCTCAAATTTCTTCCATCATTATACTCCCCTCTTCATCCCCTACATTCCTATACTAATATTATTATTTTTGAAGGGTTCAACTATCATAATTTCGCCATGTTCAAGAGACAACGAAGTGTTCGCGTTACGGGGTCGGGCTCGGGTTCGGGCCAAGGAGTTCAGTACAATCCGGAGCTCCAACTTCTGGATTTGTGGCCAACCATTCGGATTACTACATCCGATCAGCGTGACCATTTGATAAATCTTGCCAGACGTGAGGTAATTTCTTCCCGGTGGTTACACCGCGGCACTCTTAAGAATTTAGGCTTGTATGATCATGTTAAACAATTCATGGCTGATATTGGCATGCGGAAATTTGTTGATATGTACTACCCGACATATAGGGAGTTGACATGTGAATTTCTTTCATCCCTTAATTAGCACAATCTAGGAATGGTCCAATTCTACATTTTCGATTAAACAACAGAAACATTAGTTTAAATTATGTGGAATTTGCTGAACTATTTGAACTGGATCCCTCTCCCCCTACTGAATGGAGTGAAGAGTATAAGGAAAATGATATTTATTTTTCTCTAATGGGCAAAAATTGCCCTAATTCGCAGCATGCCAATACTCTTCCATTCCATCACCCCGTCCCTAAAATTTTTCACAGATTTTCAGGGACCTGTTTTCTGGGACGTCACGAACCCCACAATGCTCAAACTAACGAATTAGCTATCGTAGGGCATTATGTTTTTGGTTATGGACGATTAAACATCGCCCGTTATATTATTCATCACCTGAGTAGGCACGCCAATGCCTGTAGCAACAATGCTAAAACCCCCATTCACATTGGCGGCCTTATCACTAGGATAGCCCTTAAAAAGGTTGGGTTCAGTGAGTCTAGGTATGCAGGGATTACTAACTGTGGGGGGGAATCTCTGATAAACCTGTCATATATGCATTTTTTAAACTGGATTTAAACCAGTCGTAACTAAGTTTCAGAGTGGTTAGTCAGAGTCGACAGGGAGTACATCCCTGTTTTCCCCCTCCCTAACCCTGAGTTGACAGCTTTTCCCCCTGGGCAAGAGTCGTATACCTACGACATTCTACTTGCTCACGCACGGGGTTTGCCCCGGCATCCACCACGTGCCTCACCTCGTCCACCATCACCTCCACAGCCTCACTATGAGGCACCACCACCTCCACCTCAGGTACCTCGACCCCGACCCACACCAGATTCCGAGACTATTTGGGATTTACAGAGTATAGGTCAGGCCATAGGCAGGGTAGAGCAGTCCCAAGGTGACCAGAGGCGGATGGTTGGCTCTATTGACCAACGGTTAGGGTATGTTGAGAGGAACCAAGGTAGAGCCCTTTATCCTATGTATGATGATTATGCTCGTCGGGGTGCTATTCCCGATAATGTTGTTTACCTTGACTGGTAACAGCCACCACCCCAGGGATATGTGGATCCCACCACCCATGGTATTTACACTGATTATTCCGCATTTGCCGGTTATGGGCAAGACTTTCCATTTGGGGGGTTAGGGGGGATGTTCACCCTAACTATTTTGGTGGCGGTTCTTCTGGTGGTGCAGGTGGAAGTGGCGGTGGGTCTGGCCAGATGGATGAAGATGGAGATGATTAGTCGCGCTGGACTAATTCCCGAGTCAATGAGGACATTGTCTGATTCTGGCTTGGGGGAGATTTTGGATGTAAGTATATTTTCTTTTCTTTATCTTTTTTTTTTTATTTTTTTTTTTTATTTTATTTTTGTGTGTGCTTTAGTATAGTTTTTATTGTTTTCTAGGGTAGAATTACTGCTTTGAAAAAAAAAATATAAAAATACGTTTTAATGGATGATAAATCATGCTTCCCTGTGCCCCATACATGAAAATTGTTTTGATTCTTGGTATATGATGATGAGTTTTGTGGATAGGTTAGCCATGATTTGATGTTTGATTGCTTTGAAACCTTAACATGAGTCAATTTTGCCCAACTGCTTGTGAATATGGTGCTTGACTAGTTGATTTGGTTAGGAATGTGTGTTAGTTCCTGGTATGTCAATGAAGTTGAGTATTGTTTTATAACTTTGAGTAATGTTTGTATGACTCATTATTATGCACAATGAGGAGGACGAAGGCATTTGTTCTTTTAGGTGGCCTTCGGATGTTTTTAGATACATTTGTTCCCTTCTTGCTACCCATGTTGTTGCTTGTGCCCTTTTATTGTTTATTAGCCACATTACAAGCCTATTTTGCCCCATTGGTTACTAGTCCCAAGCTTGGCTTGGGGGAGCTATTAGTGAGTGAGGTGAGGGAATTTGTAGTGTGCATATTTATTTGCACAGTTTTGGGTGGATTTGAGAAGTTGTTTATTTGTTCTTATTTTTTTGGATTGAAAAAAAATTGAGAAAAAGTGTTCAAAAGTTGAAAAATTCCGAGTGAGTACTGTGAAAAAAAAAAAGAGCAAAGAAAAAAAATTGTTGATGTTCAAATGTTCTATTATAGGTTTCTTGAAAAAAAATAAAAGAGGAAAAAAAAATCAGAAAAAAAAGAGTTGAAGGTTTGTTATCACTTGAGTTTTATGATGTATATATATATGAGTGAATTTGTAAGTATGATTGAAAGAAATAAGTGTTGGATGTTTGGTGAATTTTTGGTAGAGTTGAGTTGTGTTGGAGATGATTTGGTCATTATTTATTTTTGACCTTGGTTTTATTTGTTAGGATTTTGGCTCCCTTAAGTATAGCTTTACTCTCACATTTTCCCATATATTTCCTACCCTTTACCTAAGCCTTACATTACAAGCTTTGAAGACCTTCCGACCTTTGTGCATAGAGTTGTGTGAATGTGAAATTAGTTGCTTATCAATGCAAAGAATGATTTGACATATTTCAAGTCGACTATTAAGTTGAGTGCTTGCTTTTCTTAAACACACGAGTGTTGTGAGTTTGGGAGGGCACTGTTCACAATAAAGGGGTTAGAAGGAGAGCGATCGGATACATTTTATATCCGCCACATAAATGAGAGTTGAGTGTGTGAGCACTAGTCTTGAATTCTATATGCTCTTGTGGTTTGCTCTATTTGACAATTGTTAGGAAGGATGAGTAGTTAGATGAATTTGATTGGTTAATTTTAATTCATATTTGTTGGATTTGCCCTGAATCGGTAATGGTTGGTTTTGTTGATTTTTGGGGTGAAGTATGTTTTATTTATTCGTTGATGAGCTCTTTGCTTTGGGACAAGCAAAGGTTTGGCTTGGGGGAGTTTGATGTATTCATTTTATATAGTATTTTATCCCCGTCCCGTGATCATAGTTAGGAGTATTTTTGGCTCTTTAGAGCCAATCTTATTACTAATATGCGTTTTCTAGTGTTTTCGTAGTTGTGGTATTATTCTACAGGAAACTGCAGATTTGGAACACTTTCCGGCATTTAATGGAGCCACCGCGAGCATTGGAGTTGAAACGTATTTATATGATCGTGTTTAGAAGCCCAAGACCGTAATTGATGATTCTATCCGGTGATTAAGGGCTCAATGAGGAAATTTGGAGCTTGGGCAATTCGATCCAAGAAGGATGACGAATTGGGCTAAGGTAACGAGGCCCAAAGGACGAAGAAGTGTAAGCCCAAGTATCCGCCCGACCGGGCAGTGCTCGCCCTGAGGCGCGCCCGATCGGGCGAGAGGAGAAGGCCCGGGCACGCTTCGCTCGGATGCGCGCCCGACCGGGCGCGAGGAAGCTTTAGGAAGTACAAAAGGCGCGCCCGGCCGGGCGGCCCTTTGCCCGACCGGGCGGCCCTTTGCCCGACCGGGCGGCCCTTTGCCCGACCGGGCGCGTGTTTTTGAAGGGAATTTTATTTTTCTTTCTTTTGTAATTTCTATCTTTGGTTTATTTTTTAGTAGGAGTATAAATACGCTTTTTAGTGAGCAATTACGGGTCTTTTACGCTTTTATTAGTATTAGCTAGTAGAATTTTCTCAAAGATTGGATTTTTCAGTTTTCTTTAGTACTTGAGTACTTTCTCTCTGAAAACCTTTTGATCAATAAATCCCTTATTTTCCGTTAACTCTTGGTACGATTTCTTGCGTACTTTATTTTCCGCAATTTGATTAATTTGTTATTTTCATGCATTCCTTGATTACTATGATTAGTTTAGATTTAATTATGTGTGAGTAGATTTTAATTCTAGGGTTGTGGGGATCCATGAATAATACGAAGGGGTAAATTTATTATTGTTAATTATTGATGATTGATTAATTTCCTATTTGATTTAATGCTATGCAATTAGATTAGGCCTGGTTTAATTGTATGAGTTTTGCAATATTGATTCGAGATTCGAGAGATGAGAATTGATATTTAGGCTTAGTTTCAATAGGCATGTTAATCTATTAATGGTTAGGTCGAGATTCGAGAGATGAGTTTTAATACCAGTAGATTGATTATGTGATTATAATACGTAGAGACATCCCTTTATAATCCGGTTAATTTATGCATTGATAATTGATCGTATGTTTTACCCTGGAATATTATTTATTGGTGAACCTATACCCTAGAGCTTTTTATTATTGATTATTCCTTTGATTGATTTGCTTAGTTTTATTATTAGTTTAATTCATACAATTACAAATTGGTAACTAGATAATTTAGATTATAATTTTTAATTAGGAATAGAAGAACACCGTTTCCCTGTGGATTCGACCCTACTTCCCTATCTACTTTAGTTAGAGGATTTAGGAATTATTTTTTATTAGGTGATACGACTAGATCCTGTCAGTTGCATTTTCAATGTTAGTTGCATGTACGCATTATCTTTCTTAGTCTTAGTATGTATTATGATTTTATGTACCACTAGCCAGTTAAATGGTATCATTCTGTACCATTCTCGTTACCACGATACGCTTACTATGTTTTATGTACCACTGGCTTGTTAATGGTACATGGTTATGTTTCTTGTCATCAAAAACTACTTGGGGGTTCTTTGCAGGACTCATCGTCTAATGTACCACTACTGTATTAGGTGGTACACTCACAGCACTAAACCTGTTATTAGTGGGCTATAATTTTTTAGTGGTTGACAGACCTTTGTGTTAGGTACTAGTGCATATGTGCTGTTTTTACATGAAATTGAACTAGTTAAACTACATAGATCTGCATATGGAAATTTTAGCATACAGAAGCGCAAACAATGTTTTGATAACTAGTAATGAACTACGCTACTACTAACCGCAGTTGAACGAAACATCAATTAAAATTTAAAATAAACGAAAACGGCAATTACAAAAATAGTCAGCCCAAATTTTACGATCTTTATGTGTTCGCGCTCTAACACCTCTACCCGTCGAACAACGCCGCCAATGTTGGTTGGTGGACCATCCTTGATGAGGTCCGACTGAACAGCCCACTCCCAGTACCCGCAGTGGCGACATTTGTAGTACGGCCGCTTCGGATTCTTCTCCGACAATGAGATCCGAAATTCCATGAGGGTTGCGTCATCTCCCAAGCAGCTGCAAGTTTTGGCTGATACCCATGAGATGTCCGCAGATGCAAACGACCGGGAAATTGTTCGACTTCTTGTCGATGTATAGGACATGGTTGACATTGTCTGTAATTTGTGAAGAAAGTGTTTGAGAAGGACGGTCACGTTTTTGGACAAATGAATTTTTTCACTCCAAACCCAAGCATATATAGTGGAGTGAAACCATAAAGAGCGAGAAACTTCCTTTGTTTAGGCGCCAATTTTCCACCATGTGCCCCATTTTATATATGGTACCCTCTGGTTCATAAAATGTACCACTTTGTCTACAATGATACAATCAACACGTGAAAAAGTACCACTGTAGTAAGACCTTCACAAATTTCATTGTCATTAAGTTAACGAAGTCGGTGGTAAGTCCAATTTCTTAAGGAGGGCTACATAAAAACACTGTTCATTGCAGGGTGTAATTGGTTAAATCATTTAGCAATCAATAACAAGTAAGACCATGAACGAACCAAGCAAAAAACTGAATAACTCAAATGACTAACTGAATTCGCTAATGACGTAAATATCCCAAAAGTTGTGATTACGGATTTCAGGTACATGTAAGGGTTGTGCTTACGAAATTAAAAGATTAAGAACTAGTTACCGAGGTAACCTGTTACATGTAGGTCTTATTAGAAAAAATATTAGTAAAATCGAAGATTGTCATTAAATAATATCCTATAATGTACTACTATCAACGTAAATCTCCCAAAGGTTGTGATTAACAAATCATTAAAAGATTACGAATTAGTTAATGAGGTCAACTCTAATAATTAGTTATTTGTGACCAAAGATATTGGTGAAGCCTAATAAGAATGATATTAGTGATACCAAAATTGTGATTAAACAGTGCCCTCCTATGAAAGTGTTGTACCACCATGAACGAGAAACATGCATTTTCCTTTTTAGTGGTTCTTTCTATGAGGTCATTTGTACCACCCTAACTACAATGGTACCCTAATTATCTTAGTAACTAAGGTACATATTGTATTACAAAGTAACTGAATTAGTTGATGAGGTAAATATCCAAAAGGTCGTGATTACAAACTTAAGGTACATATGGCGGTTGTGATTACAAATTCATGAATTCATACATGTACGTCTTTTTACTGAGGTAAACTCCAG